TTTGTGGTCCATTGATGTGTTATGTCCTTCGCTTATTTCCTATAGGGCAGTTCATTGTAATTGGTGACACTTTGCAATCGTCATTATGGCTGAGCTCAGTTCATCAGCCAAACGGCTGCAGCGTTTGGCTGCCATCTCCGGATAACAGTGTAAGCATGACTTTTCTATCATCCGACCTCGCATATCATTCTTTGGATGTAGAATGGGAACCTTTACCGCTTATAGGCCCGCTTTTCGATCTTCACAGTCACACATTGATCTCTCGCCTGGTGATGATGGTAGTGGTGTCTCTAAACGACGCAAAGTAATATTTCCCCCTTTGAGCCAACTGCTGTTCGTCTCTGACTTATCTAACGTTCTATTTTTTGGGATTCTACGGGATATTCTTTCTGGCTAGACGGAGCGAAAGGATAACGATATAACTCACAAGCGGGCTGAAGACTTTCCCATGAAGAAAAAAACAAAGGCAAGCCGAGATCTAAATGCCACAGCGACAAAATGTGGGGATGGGAGGATCGGTATCAGAATCCAGTCAGGCTATAAGGAGGGCTGTAACGTCCGGATTGTCCTGTATTCTCCCGGGCGCGCGACGAGTGGGTTTTTTTTCGGCACCGTCTTCCTTCCGGCGAAACGGGAAGTCAAGGTTGCTCTGTGTCCTGAGAAAACTAATCAATGGCTGGATCGACCACCAAATGCCCGGCGGGCATAATGCTGCCGCGGTGCGCCCAGCCTAAGAGTTGAGACTGATCATGACCCTCGGCATTGGGTAATAATCGCTCCCCCTTCAAATCTCATGCAGCCGATGCAGAACTCATTAAGTAGCGATGATAAATGATGCGTCAACAACATGCGATATGTGTTTCTGATTTGGGCTCGAGTTGTGTTATTCATGTCATATCTATATCAGTCAAGTGGCTCTTTTCCAGGCTCTGTTGTCAGTGGCGGATCCCGTGGGGAATTTCAATTGGGAATAACAGAGGGGAAAGAATAAGTGGAGTTCTATTGTGAGCGTTGTTACATTTTTTGGGAAATACGAAAGAATAGAAATTCACCCTTCTGTGGGCTTTCGATCCGCCTCTGGTGGCTGTATTTGAAGCAGCTCTAAAAAGTTGCCAGGTAAGCGTCCGCTTCATATCGTAGTGTATAAACTTTGCTATGCGTCGCGTAAAATCACGTCTCCCACAATGCTACAAGCTTGATCTGTGGCCCATATCTAATTTGTTGCATTGTAGGCAAAAAGCCCACGACTCCTAACGACAGGGACAGGCTGATATGCCTTTCGAGACAGTGTCTGCATTCTATGTGAACCGGACAAAAAACGGCACATTAGTCTCTCCCTGTTACAGTGATAGCAACTCGCAGCGAGTAACTCGCGGTACAATCAAAAGATAATAAAATACTGTAGATCGACAGGTCGTAGGTTTGAATAGAGGTGAAGCTATGATAGCTTAGCTATCTAGGAATAGTACTTAGTTTTGTTCACTATAGTACGCGTAATATGGATATAACCCCACTGTACTATACAGCTTTACCGATCAGCGCGTATCTCATGCCACGTCGGCTCAACTGGCAGCAACAGAACGAGATCTATGGGATCCCTAATGGGGCCAACTTCTTCAAGACAGCCCTCGACCGACTGCAGCTCGACGAAGTTGCATTGTTATCGTATCGCCGTGATAACTACGAAGTTTATCACTGTGGTGATCACCTCGCCTGCGAAAAGAAGTGGAAGCTGGTGAATAATGGTGATCATGTAACCGTGCTCAGTGCAGGTAATGGATTGTAGAATTTGTATCTGCTATCCAGTTTTCGCAGGAGAACACGGTGAGGTTCCACGTCAGCGGAACAGGACTCGTCATCCGCGGAAAATCGTATCTTATATCGTCGACAAGGCTTCTAGATGGGGGAAGACGGCGAGTGATATTTTTAATAACTTGGTTGAGGATTTTCCTGACTACGTTGAATCGGGACGGATCACGCGAAATCAAGTACGAGAGCTGCTGTTAGACGAGGAGTTTGAGAATCTTAAGTTGAGACTGATACATTCTAGGTGCAAAATATCATATCTGGAATCCAACGAAGACGCGATATAGCAGTGTATCCAGTCAGCAATTTCTTCGAACTGGAGGAAGCATTCGAGGACTCGCGTATAAGCCAGGAAATCATCGACTACATCAGAGAAGACAAGTCTTGTCTGACAAGATACCCTCAAGAGAGTTCGTGTTCCACGGCGGATACTGGGGTGACAACTTCGCCTGCGTGATCGGCGGCGCGAGTGAGAAGTGCTAAGGATAGGCAATCGTTGTAATTTATAGATTAGGTATGCTAGCATCATTGCTCTGGTTCATACGCTCCATGTCCTCGGGTTTTCATTGTACATGGATGCGCAGAACAAGATAATCCGTGGGAGTCAGAAAGTCGCATGGGTTGGATCCTCGAGAATATGGTAGCAACTTTCTACCAAGTTGGGTTGGTAGTACCAACCGAACTTCTACAACTCTATCCCTCAGGTTCGATGTTTCTCGTCGCCAGTACCGGCATACATTCGTCCCCTTCTTCATGGCTATCATTAATGAAGAATGTAACGACGTGTACCATCATCTGTTAGCGCACCTCGACACGTTGGTGAGAGCTTTGACGTTGGGTGAGAAAACTATTGAGGACGTCGTGAACCTCTGTGTTCACGACGCCCATCAAGGTGCACTCAAGGCATGTCGTGAAGTCTTACCAAACGTGAGGAACGGTAAGGTGGAACCCTGAATTGACCGCAGTTTGACTCGCGATTTCCAGCACGTTGCTACTTCCACTTGACTAAGAACCTGAAAGATAACAAAGGCACTCTCGGTGAAGGCTTCAATATAGTGAGAGTAGATGATGCTCGTAGGAATGTTGATTCGTTTCCCTGCTAGATGAAACGAAATAAGTACTGGTTACATGCAGCTCCCACCGATGCCTTGTACGAGTTGATCTCCGATACCATGGCCGAGGTCGTTCGTGATATTTCTTCTCAAGGGGGAGAATATTTGAGGAAGACACTAGGCACCGAACAATATGGTTATCCAAATATAGCCATAACGAATGAAGGTGTTGTTGGAACTTAGGTAACAAGCCTCTCCGTGGGACACTGTTTACAACGCACATTACCAGCGTCGCCTTTCGATGGTAGCTAGTTTTATCATAAGTTATGTCAGGTCTTGACCAACATCGTCGAGTCCTTTCATAAAACACACACACGGATAATAGAGAGTAAACGACTAAACATATCTGCTTTCGCGGCGAAAATTCGCAAGGTACGCCTCACGTCTGATTCTACTTTTCAATTTATGGGACGAGTCTTATACATGCTCATAGTAATTGTGTAGGTTATAGTGTCTCTCAAACTCTCGAGCCCTTAACATAAGGTTAAGAGACCCGAGCCTATCAACGCGGTCGAGTATCAGAATGATATGAAACTTCGAGGAACCAAGTTTCATCAACGAGGATGCGTTACTGAGGTAACTGCAAGACGCTTATTGCATTTCTGGCAACTTAATGTTTGTAGGTCACGACTGTGGTCACTGATTTAATTGAGAGTACTATCGGTACACGATATTTCCTGCTTCCGAGTAACCGCTCCCCAGGACAGCATGCCGATGCCGAAATGAGAGAGAGGACTGAACTCTTCCTCCGAGGCATTTTGCTGGATGAGTTAGAAGAAGGTTCGACTGCAAATGACATCTCTTCGGGATTTTCTTACTCGCAGATGGCGATCTGACTTTGACAAAATTCTTAAGGCATTACTTTTGCTACTATCTTGTCACCGTCTCGCCTCAGCAGCAGCGGACTGAATTCGGCCGTCAGAGAATCCCTCCTAGCTGTACATGTAAGGAATATCGTGACTGGGCATGCTGCGGGCATGGGTATGCGGTGGAAACCTACCTAAAGAGCCGACCACCGTGAGCTGAGCATCCTAAAGTACCGATCCCAGACATGACGCCCATAGGTACATCCCAGCAAATAGGCGCATGGCTGGCTTGAGACGAGGACGAGCAACTGCACGGAATCCAGGTGTTCTGGGCCGATATAACTCCGCTGTCTCACTCCCACAGAATGGTGAGTAGTACTATAGAAAGCACCCTGAACAGGCACATAATCAGTGAATATTCGTCATTTAGGGCGTCTTCTGTAATGCTGAAGAGCCTGTCATTTGTTCAGGTGAAGAATTGACAATAGATGATACAGAAAACCTCTCGGACAACGAAACAAGTGGGAACATCAGTCTCTCACAATTTCTTCTGGGGTATTGGCCATGTTTGTTTTTTGACAGGTATCGCCTCGCTTTTATCTGGAACTGATGAATCAAGCGAGGATGACTATGATACCCTAACTGATGACGAATCGTCTTCTGGAGAAGAGGAGTCGAGCGACAGCAATGATGGATATCGCTCAATATACAGCCAAGCCAGCCAATTCGGCAATGATTCTCCTATCGAAGGAACTGGAGAGGCCGGTAAGGACCCACGTTGTTTCCTAACGTGTATACTATTTGCATTTCGACGCGATATTGTGAGCTCATCGTATAACGAAGATATGGTCGATCCCCTAGCATGGTCAGATTCTCGTACATCGGGATGTGGAGTTGATTCCGGTGAAGCGAGCGACACGAGCGATAGCAAGTATCAATTGCTGTTATGATTCTATAAGCGTAGGTTACATGTTCCTGATGTACGACACTTGTAATGACTTCTTCACTAAATGTTTCATGCTAAACTACTTATCGCGTTGGTGACTAGTGTGACAGACACAGTGTGACACACTGTGACAGTGTGCAGTGTGAAATGATGTGCTAGTG